GGATTTCGGAATCACACTGGCGATTAGAATCCAGAATCCAAGTTCCACTGACAAAGGCTGGTATCCAGTAACTCAGTGGAATCTGGAATCCAGAATCCAATACTGTCTTTGATTCCAGGCGAATCTTCTTATGGACAATTTTCAATACCAAACTTAACTAATCGATTATCGTAGCATTACTGTTAAAGCATAGTGTTATATAATTGGGCATAGAGCGGTTTTCACTTGACTGTCGAAAGGGATTGGTTTTGGTTTTGGTTTTGGTTTTACTACGCCCTTTGGTTGGCTAGTGTATTTACTTTGGTTTTGGTTTTACGACAGTCAAGTGAAAACCGCTCTATAGTCCACCGCAATGATAAATCCAATCCTAACCGCAACATAGAAGATCTTTCCTGCATGAACATATCACCCGTCGTTAGGTCGGAGAGTTTCTGTGAAAATTAATCGGAGGGCCATGAGTTCAGGCACAGGTGACCCAGGCTCTGTGATAGTACCACAGTACGGTTCCAGTAAAATTACAGTGTTTGTATGGGGTAAAAATATCATCCTAAAATTTCTAGGAAATACTAAATAAAGATCAATGAAACTTACTCTGCAGTTAATTGTTGTTGTCCTTATTGCTCCAACGAAGTTTCGGGATAATTTGCAGTAATTTGTTCAAATTCACTCTATCTACAATAATAATATACAAGGTAGGAAACACGAGGTGCCATTTTCGCCGACATGCTCTCATTCAACACAACTTTTTCCACGAAATTCGAACTCCAACGGAAAATAGACATGCCAGGATCGTAGAAATAGGATAGCAGCAGATATAGAAACCAATGAAGCTTTCCCAGATAGAGAAACGAATCCCACAGACTTTGACAAACTCGAAGAATATAATCCAAACACACCGAGAATACGCTCGCCGAAGCAGCCGGGCCAGATCAACGCGCGGCCAAGAAAATGAAGCCTGGGCACTGTACAAAAAAATTCCATCCCGGGGGTCCTGGGGTGACCTTTCTAGGGACCGATACATCATTTGCCCAAGGCCACCCTCCCCTGCTGGAAAAATACTTGATAGAAGGCAATTGTTCTTCCTAGCCAATCACCATTTGCCAGAGCAAACCCCGCACACGCGCCTGAATTTAAATGGATAAAAAAAAGTAATATAATCAGGAGAGTCTGCGGAGTTACAAGGCGTCCCATTTCTTTTACTAAGGAATGCAAATAACAGTAATGAAACTAATGAAATAACAACGCGAAATGCTTACAAGGCGGGCTAAAAACAAGGTTGAACAAAAGGTAGATGATGACTGAGATACTGTTGCTGTGAACTCTCGAGCGAAACTATCGTAAATAAACGTTGAAGCTTACAAACTAATGTCAAAAATTATACAGAAAATTGCGACAGAATATGAATTGCGATAACTGAGACGAATGTGAAAGCCACGTGCACTAGTAAACAAAGAACTAGCGCGATTAACATATTTAGCGATTAATGCGGCAGTAACACGCCGACTTCTTGTCAATACAAGTGAACGCTCTATCGGCATCGTGAGACACCTCTCTTTGAATTTGATCCTGTTGTACAAATGCCTCGGTAAGAGCCAAAATTCACTTATATCTTTTGCTCGTTTTAAGTTTTGTAAATCGTCCTTCGTTGTTCTTTTCTTTGCCCTTATAACCTTGCCCTATTGATGTTTGATAAACTTTCTGAGGACCAGCGCCAGGAGCTGAATATAGTTCGAGAGGAAAATAATCTCTTTATAACAGGCCATAGTGATTGGCTAGGAAGAACAATTGCCTTCTATCAAGTATTTTTCCAGCAGGGGAGGGTGGCCTTGGGCAAATGATGTATCGGTCCCTAGAAAGGTCACCCCAGGACCCCCGGGATGGAATTTTTTTGTACAGTGCCCAGGCTTCATTTTCTTGGCCGCGCGTTGATCTGGCCCGGCTGCTTCGGCGAGCGTATTCTCGGTGTGTTTGGATTATATTCTTCGAGTTTGTCAAAGTCTGTGGGATTCGTTTCTCTATCTGGGAAAGCTTCATTGGTTTCTATATCTGCTGCTATCCTATTTCTACGATCCTGGCATGTCTATTTTCCGTTGGAGTTCGAATTTCGTGGAAAAAGTTGTGTTGAATGAGAGCATGTCGGCGAAAATGGCACCTCGTGTTTCCTACCTTGTATATTATTATTGTAGATGGAGTGAATTTGAACAAATTACTGCAAATTATCCCGAAACTTCGTTGGAGCAATAAGGACAACAACAATTAACTGCAGAGTAAGTTTCATTGATCTTTATTTAGTATTTCCTAGAAATTTTAGGATGATATTTTTACCCCATACAAACACTGTAATTTTACTGGAACCGTACTGTGGTACTATCACAGAGCCTGGGTTACCTGTGGTTCAGGTCGGCCCGTTTATTTCTAGAGAACTCACATCTTTTCCGAATCACCTGTGTAACAGACAGAATATAGAATATTTAGATTTAGCCACGGCTAAAAGCGAAGCTCTTTTTAATATTTATAAATTCGTCAAAGAAGACATAAAATCGAGAGATAGTAAAGACAAGGTGAAAACAAGGAGAACGGAGAAAACAACAACAATAGATCTAATTAGCAAAAGAAAAAAACAACTTTGCACGTGCAGCACACTTTTTTTTTTTCTAATTAGCAAGAACTGAAACAACTTTGCACGTGCAGCACACCTCTTTGTACATTTCCTTGCCGTTGTTTGCAGGACTAAGACGTAAAACTACTTTTAACTTCCTATTTGCACGTTTTATGGCGGAAATGTTTGCGTTCCTGTTTACTTTGTTTTTTCACTGCCGCTCTTTTTCACCTTAATAGCCGCAAGCATTTCTGATTTTCTCACCGCCGTTATAATATAAATAAAGTTTCGACTAACGAAATTCGTCTCCATTTTTATTTATTTTTCGCTCTAGCTCTCTCCCGGTTATCCAAGTCAATTTATAAAATAGCTAAGATAGTACGCGCGTTGTGATTGGTTAAAAACCTATGGTTTATTGTGCCGGTAAACTCATAGAAAACTGAAACATTTTCCGTTTTACTTAAAGTTAAAGCTTGTAAATCACTCGCCTTCGGCTCGTGATTTACATAGCGCAAGGAGCTCCGCTTAAAAGGGTCTCTCACAGTATTTCTACAACGGAACCTCTAAAAACGGCTCCCTTTCTACAACGGCTGCTTTCTTCTGTCCCCAAGGTGTTGTGGAGAGGTTCGATTGCATTTCTTTTTTTTTTTATCTAGGGAAAGGAAACAGAAGAGCAATAGTTCTACACGATGCGAATCCATTGGGCAAAACAGCAAACTTGTCGTGGTCTCGCGGCTGGATGTGTGGTTGGACTCCCCATGGACTGTGTTTCTCGCCCGACGAAAACAAAGACATTCACAACTTTTACGTGATCCCTTTTCCACTCATAAAGACCCACGTTTATTGCGAACAGAGGCCCAATATAAACTCTGGCTGGGGATTCGGGTTAAACTCTATCATCCTTGCGCAATTTTCAAGAGCAAACAAGGGAGAACTTTGGCAAGGACTGGTCAGAAGATACACTCAAAATGGCCATGGCACTATACTAAAATTTAGAGCTAAAACATTTTTTGCATCTTTCGGTGTGAATCAAGTAGAGCAAACCTTTTATGCTGGTCAGGTATATCTCGAAGGTAATTACACATTATACATGTATGTACAAAAAAAGCAAAATATTACTGGATCGAAGTATCTGGGTCGTCGTGGATACGGACAAGCTGAAACCCTCCACAATGTTTAACTTATATATTTTACAAAATGATAATCAGAATAGGTTTATATTTTTGCTTTCAATTTGGCCTTCCTTAGGGGTTTGTCAAGAGTAGCCTGAGTATCAGGCGTTTCAAGGGGGCAAAGGGAAAGAGAGAAGCGAAAAGGGGAAAAAGCGAAGGGAGAGAAACGCCTAACACAGAGTGACGCTTTTATGGAAGCCTTACACCCTCACACACAGTGATTCAGTTTTAGCCAGTCAACTAGAGCCTCAATCCGTTAAGGAAATTTTTTTTAAAAAAAGGTTTGGGCCGATATAAATATATGCCTTTCAAAGAGCGAGTAAAATACGACGACTGTCAAATGCGTAGTATACATTAAAAACAGCCGCTTGATATATGAGAAAAATTAAAATATTCAACGTAATTTATCTCGATCCCGTAGTCGTTTCAATCTCTTCTCCTC